AGCAGATATCATAACCACTAGACTACAAGTGCTTCCTATGCTCCCCCACGCCTCTTTTCCTTACATGTCGAAACTTAGGTTATTGCCTCTATTTCAGTAAGGCTTTGAATTCATAAGACTTCTGCTCTACACTTTTTGGCCAGCCTCAGCAGATAATTTGCGAAAACCGAGAAGCTAAATGCCAGTACTCTGTTGAACACCGCCAGTTCCTGTGCAACAGAAAACACTGTGATTATCCATTAGTTCCTGTGTCTGTTCCGGGGTCTGAGTTGGCGATGCACGACTGTAACGCCATCGACACTCTCCACAAAAACATGTGCTTCTAAGCGGTACAGTCGCAACTGAATTTGAGTAGCCAATATGAACATCAAGGTTCGTACGATACATGCAAGAGACTTTAGTAACAATCTTTCCGGTAAAACGGCATAGCTTAGTCTTTAGCGCGCCAGCGGGATCCATGCGAGCTCACATGGTCCAGTGGTCAAGACTCAACGTTGTGGCCGTTGCAACCCAGGTTCGATTCCTGGTGTGGGCATAGCTTTTCTTTTCCCTATTGGTTCGCGTGTCTGGTACAGCTTGCTGTTACGCGACAAAAGTGTGCACTCAAACATCGGAGAAAAAGCAAAAAATCGTGTAGCAAGAAAGCCTACGGGCGAGAAAAAGAACGGGCTGTTGTGGGAATCGAACCCACGACCACCATCACCCTAAGATGGTATCATACCACTAGACCAAACGGCCGTCTTCACACACTCTGCCACGCTGTACATACATTACCGTTATCGTTTCCACGTACTTTAGCGTTTCTTCTCAACATCAATTCACTTTACTGAGATCACTACTCAATATCGTACTTATTAGATCACTTGGCTGGTTGCACGCTGTTCGCTGTGCAGCATCAAAATTCTTTCCGTACTACCGCATTCATTCTGCAGACAGCTTGTCGGCAGGACAGCACTGTCCCCGCAGCCTGAAAGCGAATACAAAAATTAAGCAAATTGACAACCACCGGTACACGTACAAACGACTGCTTTCCATTTCCCCTCATTTCCATTTCCATTTCCATTTGCCTTTGCCTTTGCCTTTGCCTTTGCCCTCTGACATCCTCTCGCTTACTCTACACGGCGCGATCACACAATCGCTACGCGTAATCACCTTTTGTTCAATAATAGCACATACGACAGGAAAACGATACAGCAAGTTCAACTACTGTAACGTGCTACGTTACGATGTGCTATTCTGGGAGAGTTGGTCGAACCAAGATTCGAACAACGAACACAGAGGAAACACATCCCCGATGAAACCACTAGGACACAGCGATTTGCTTATTCCTAGGACATGGAACTGTCTAGGTAAATCGCCATGTTCGGGGTCAGGCTTACGAAGCAAAACAGGAAAAACTATTTTTCCTGCAATAACGCTTTGCTTACGTAAGCTGAAACTTTCCAACACCTTCTAGAATACCTTATTCTACAAGGTATAAATAGTTCTATAATTATTACTAATAAAACAAGCTTTTTCTTAAATACAAAATTAGGAGTTCCTTACAACTACCCTACCAACAAGAGGCGGGCGGGAAATGCAGCACAGAGAAAAAAAGAATAAAGCAGTCGCTAGCTTCTGCAAGCGATCCCGTCCCCTTGGGTGGAATAGAGAGGCTTATGAGGGCAACTGATATAGAACGAAAAAAGCTTGTATTGAAATGAACTGTGTTAAGTGGAGAAAAAGAGGAGTGAGGAGGGGCGGAAAAGGAGTTTTGGAGCTTAGAGTTTAGAGAGGCCAACGGTGAAGCAAAGGCAGCAGTGGCCGTTTGGTCTAGTGGTATGATACCATCTTAGGGTGATGGTGGCCGTGGGTTCGATTCCCACAACAGCCCGTTCTTTTTAGCTCCGTCCCTGCTTTTTCAGTTTGTCTTTATGGGAATTGGATGACATTGTTTCGGATATCACTAAAGCTTCTTAGCGGTGGCAATGCGGCGACCAGTGATATGGCAAGGAGCGGAAAACCTTTTAAGAAAACAGTATACTAGGAACCTGAGACGGGTTGTTCAGCGAAGATGCTTTTAAGTGACGCGATCAATTAGCGAACAACGCGTGTACTTCCAGCCGAAGAATTACACGGAAAAAGGAAAGCGTAACAATGCATTACTGCTCCGGCAGTGACTCGAACACTGGACCTCCTGTTTACGAGACAGGCGCTCTACCACTGAGCTACAGGAGCCATATCAACCACTGAACCATCGTAGAGCTTACATACAGATATGCTTCGTGGATCACGGATTGCCGGTGTTCGGCTTCGCTGGCGTACTGCTCCATATACTTGACCGGCGTTTCCCAGTCCGCGTGCTGGTCTTTGTCCGTGTATTCCGTTGGCTTCAAGCCAGCTGAAAGCAAAGAGAACAACAAAGAAAGACATGACCCCTAAGCGACTTGAACGCTTGACTTTGAGATAACACCGTGGTGCAGCACCTCTTTGGAATCTCACACTCTACCGACTGAGTTAAGGGGCCTTGGTCATCAACCCCTTTCCTTTGAGACACATCAACCCTTTTAGTTTTATTTTCCATTCTCCTTTGCTCATTACTCCTAAGCTCACTACTCCTGCTCTCAGCTACCCCTCTTTACTCGCCCCAACACCTCTCTCTCTTCTATCGCTACGCACATTCTTTTTCACTGACTGGTGCTACGTTGCCGATGACGATAGAACAATTTTACAATAGATTAAATGTTAAGTTTATACAATAGAATATAGTGTATTCTATTACAGTGAAAGAAAAGAAAAGATAATATGGAAAATTGAGTTGAGTTGAATTGAATTGAATCGAATTGAATTGAATTGAGCTGAATTGATTAAACTATATTGTGTAAAAATAAGTAGCAGAAGAAAAAGCAAATTTAGTGAAATAAAATAAAATAAAATAAAAGAAAAGAAAATAAAATAAAAGAAAATAAAAGAAAAGAAAAGAAAAGAAAATAAAAGAAAAGAAAATAAAAGAAATGAAAGAAAAGAAAAGAAATGAAATGAAATGAAAGAAAAGAAAAGGAAATATAATGAAAGGAAATAAAATGAAATGAAAGAAAGAAAAGTGGAAGCCTGAACGTAAAGTGGAAGCCTGAACGTATACAGGATATCTTTGATGAATACATGCGAGCAAAAAGATGAGTCACAATAAGAGGAACCAAAAACCAGCTAGTCCCGCCGGGGATCGAACCCGGGACCTTCTCCGTGTGAAGGAGAAATCATACCACTAGAACACGGAACTCAGTCTTCTATTGTCCGGTCCTACTCACAGTACAAGTAGCCGTAAGCCTCAAACGAACGCCGGTTTTGGTTTCTTGTTTGGCTTTTTCGGTTCGCCGCTCAAATCAACGAACCGTAATGTCTTCGTTTTTGCGCTTCTAATGCGACGGGGATTCATTGACTTTCACTCTATCGCGTTTTGCTTCCGGTGGCTCGTGTTTCTAATCAGCTCGTGTCGAGTCCTCATTCGGCTTTCTGCGGAAAAAACAAAGAGGAGGTAAGAAAATAAGAACTCGGAACTCGAACGGGGAAGACAGGGTAGTAGTGGGCTGAAGATGTGATGTTGAAATGCGGTCTATGACGAGAAGGGTATTCGTCGCAAGTCTTGTGCCGTAGAAAACGGAAGAATAATCAAACACAAAGAACTATGGATGGAGGGATGTACTACGATGGTAGAGGTTTTTACGAGCCAGTCCCGCTTAGCTCAATCGGCTTAGAGCGTCCGGCTTTTAGGACACGATAGTCAGGTGACCGGAAGGTTGCGAGTTCGAGTCTCGCAGTGGGAGATACTTTTCCCATGGCGGGAAAAACTTGGGCCATGTCGATGCGGGCCGAAGGTTGAATGCTGGGCGCGCCCGTATTACATTGGAATGCCTTCACTTCAAGTATACTTGTTTGTGGGAACACGCAAACAATCCTGATGGAAGACCAGCACGTAAAGGTTTGTGTTGAGGCAGCGTGAACTTAGAGGACTATTTGAGGGGTAGAGACATGGTGGCCGTTTGGTCTAGTGGTATGATACCATCTTAGGGTGATGGTGGTCGTGGGTTCGATTCCCACAACAGCCCTTTTTGCCCGGCTACGGGCGTGCGTGTTGCTTGTTTACAATTTGAGCCGTTTCCGTCCATGGTGGATGGCCTGGTCGTGCTGTCATGATCTGCCTGAAGTTGCCTACACTCGGCAGAAACAAAAGCAAACAAGTCCTGTCGGCAGGAAAAACCTTAATGACGAAGGTGGGGTTCGAACCCACGCTCACATATGTGAACTAGCACGCTCAGTTTCCTGAAGCTAGCGCCATAGACCACTCGGCCACTTCGCCTAACGCGTTCTGTTTCTCTGCTCCACCTCACCTATACCATACTGGCAGACAGGGTAGAAGGCGATGTATGCGGCACTGGTGCTGAAAACCACACACACATGGAACACGGCAACGTAGAGAGAGGACGAAAGAATAGACATGGACGAACGATCATCGGAAGCATTGTCGAGATGAAACACCGCTGGCCTCTCGGTCTAATGGCCTGCGTTAGTTCTGCCAGGCTCGCAAAGTCGCAACCCGCATCTTCCATACGTCTGGCGGATTCGGCGATGCTTGCGCGGTAAGAGGTGGCGGGTTTCCGCGTGTGGTGTTTCGGCAGCGGGACAGGCTATATTGCAAAAAGGGTGACTACGAGCAAGTAAGTAGCGGGAGAGAAGGGGTTTGCAAAGAGACACTGTGTTATGGAATTAGAATGGAAGGGTGTAGCGTGAGGGGGTCATAGCTCAGTGGTAGAGTGAGGGATTGCAGATCCCCAGGTCGCTGGTTCGAACCCGGCTGGTCCCTGACTTTTGCTATTTTTTGTTGGCCGTGTAACTAGCTTTGGTGTGTGGATGGCGAGCTAGTGCTGTTGACTTTTTTTTTCAGGCGTGGCTCTAGCAATCGAAAGCGTGCTGAACCGCACGGTAAGCAAAAGAAAGAGTTATTAAAGAAAAGACAATGATCTCGACAACGGCAGGATTCGAACCTGCGCTCCCAAAGGGATCCGCTGGGCTACTGATAGCAGGCGAACGCCTTAAAACCACTCGGCCACGTTGTCCTCAGCGCTCTCCTCTCCCTTCTTTCTACATATTACCTATCTTTTCCTCCCTTCCTGTTTCGCCATTACTAGAGCATCTCATTCTTTTGCTACTTACCTTCATCAGTCACCGTGTATTCTCTGCATCCCACACACATCATGCCTGCTCTGTTGCTCCAATTCTCCCTCCCATCCTCCCACCTGCTCTCCTTTGTTGTCAAAGTCGCGGCCTAACACCGTCAAGCGTAGCTCTTTGTCAGCGTACAGTCAACTGCTCTGTTCACGCGGACCCTAACTAGATACTGCTATGGCGATGTCGAAAAAAGGGGAGCTGGAAACGGGTTGTAAGTAATCATTCCGGGTTTTGTACTAGAACTGTAACAAAAATTAGCGAAATGTAAATAGATGAGCATTTTGTTACTCTGTCTCTAACATACATATATGTGTATCTTAGTTGTGTCTCTTGTCTTCCCCGCACGAGAAGTCGTGTGGAGTGTGTGTAGCCACTCAACAACTGTATACACTGTCACAAGAACAAGC